ACTGAAAGGTAATATTTAAGCAAAAGAGTGAGGATGGTGAGAGAACCAGCATAGTAGCAGCAATCCCAGTGAGACATGTTAAAATAAGGGAGAGTACCTGCAGGAGCCGGAGGGGGACACACATCTCATAAGCGTGAACACCAGTAGGGAAGCCAGTAATGCTGAGTCCTAGACGGGCAAGATCATGTAGGGTTTTGTGGGCCCCTGTAAAGACCCTGGCTTCTCCTTTGAATGAGACAAGAAGCCAGTTAGAGGGTATGGGAAATTATGTTTCCCAAGATAGCTGTTAAAATCTCACACCTCACAGTCTTTTCCATGATGACCTTGCTACTTCTCTAGGAAGAGAACAGGTGCATGGATAAAGAAAATGAGGCATACATATGATACAACACTATTTAGCCTCAAAAGGGAAGGGACTCTTGCAACATGTAACAATTTGTACGAACCTGGAGGACACTCTTAAGGGAAATAAGCCAGACAGAAAGATGAATATCACATGATCTCACATATGATATCTTTGAAAAGTCAAACTCATAGAAGCACAGAGAACTGTGGTTACCTAGAGGATTGAGATAGAGTTGGGTGATATTAGTCAAAGAACACAAACTTTCATTAAAACAGGAGGAATAAGTTCAAGAGATCCATTGCATAACATGGTGACTATTGTTAATGTATACTTAAAAATTGCCAGGAAGATTAAGTATTCTCACCATAAAAAGAATATGTATCTTAATTAGCTTAACTTGACCATTCCAGAATGTATACCTGTTTCAAAACACCTTATTTGATACCATAAGTATATACAAGTTTTATTTGTCAATTAAAAAAAAATCAGCAGACACACTATAAGGCCTGATTAACATGTGAATCAATACCTTTGGAAAATATTAACTGAAGGACTTGAATTATATGTATCTAACAGAAGGAGAAAAAATACCATGGTTTTCAATTTTACCTTTTATTAAAGTACAGAGTTAACAAGTTTTGCATTTTCTACATAGGAAAAGACTGATCAACTTCAGATGCTGTATAGAAAAATTAGCATTCAAAAAACAAATACAAATTCGTAATCGGCTTTGTAACTAAAAGGAAAAATAACTATTTCAAAAGTTAGCAAAACCTAACCATATCACAGACCTTTATAAACTTCGAACAGTAGATTTACCACACCTATTGCAGTTTCAAATTCTAATATAGCAAAACGTAACCACAAAATTTGGCTACAGCTAATTGTTCCAAAAAAGTTTAAAAAATTAACAAAGTTATGACTATAAAATTGTTGGTTTTCTTTGCAAAATAAAAAAAGCTTAAATCTTTAATAAAGGAAGACAAAACAATCCTCTTAAATTTCTTATAAATAGCTCTCAAGACATATATTACGCATCTGTTGTAAGCTTTCTTTACCTGAGGGAATTTCCCAGGATCCTTTATCACAAAGGATTACCTTTGAACAGTTCTATCATTTTATTCACATGAATATGATTAAACTTCTAAGGAAGTGGATTTGGACATACGCATTCTTAATCTTCCCTTCCCCAATTAAGTTTTTTTCTGAAAGGATTTCGTTTTAAAACAAAACCAAAAAGCTTCTTTGGTAAAAGACAAATATTTCAACCTTTCAAAAATGACCGACTCTGTGAATATCTACTGAAGAAGAAAGATCTAAAGATCCGTGTGAATAGCTCTATCATCCCATGAAGTCACAGGTCCAACGTGAGAGAACCCTTCTCTGCCTGAAATGTAAAACTCAGCTTATTCGCAAGATGCAGAGAACATCCCATGGAAAATTCCATGAGCCAAGAGGCTACCTGCACTGTCCTTGACGGAGGAGGGCCCACTGGTCTTTCTAGGTGTTCAGGGTCTTATTAGCTCAAGGCCAGAACCCTCTTGGTTGGGGGCAAAGCCCTCTTTCAACTTCAAGAGGTGTAGGATGTGAGTGTACAACAAAACGAGATCTTATTCAGAAAGGCAAGAGAAAGAGAAAAAAAGAAAGCCCAGGAAGCTTAAATACATGCTCTGGAATTCCCTTCACAGGATAACATGAAGCACCATTGATGGTAAACTGTCTGGCAAAAATTAAATAAGAACGTCATCTTAAAAAGGCAGAGAACAACAATTTGGGGAGAGGGGTGATTAACTGGAGGCTGAGGTCATTCACAGTGAAGGATCCTCTGAGGAACTGCAAGTCCTCAATGTGGGAACTCCCTTGCTGGCCATTACTCACTGGAAACAGAAACCCTAAGAGTCCCAGTGACTCCACCCTCCCTCCCGCCTACACCCGTAGTCTATCTACTCAATAAACCTCTGGCAAACAATTTGTAGACAATTTCCCAAGAAACTGTGAAGACAAAACCATAACCAACCAACTAGTATTACAAAAGCTCAACTCAGTAATGACATGGCAGGTTTTCTGAAGACTTGAGATTTAGAAGATTGTCTCTCGTCTTCATTCAGGTTACATGTCTACCTACAGTGACACTCCCAGGAGTCTCCCTCATGAAAATGAGAGGGAGAAATTTTCCACATCAGATGAATGGCACAGGGGAAACAGACGCACAGTCTCTTAAAATCTTCAGCTTTCATCTCCAGAGGAGCCTGACCAGCAGCTTCAGGAAAGGCACCTTTGTAATCAGGTACAAAAACTTGGAGGAAGCAAAAGTCTGTTATTTTTTTAAAAGACATCAGTGAGTTAAATGAACACCACTGTTATTGCAACTGAAGCAACTGGCACAATTTTTCCAGTTTCTTAAGTCTCAATAACACAAAATGTAGTTTTTTTTTTTTTAAACTATCAATGTTGATTCATCACCTAAATATTGTTTCTCATTGTTCATAATCATTAAAGTTGACTTCTTGTCTCTACACCCTAGGTTCTCAGAGTGCAGCCATCTATCTGTGGCCATCCCAGAACCTTGCTAACACTGTCAGTTGAAAATAAAAATGAGAAGGACCTTCATCAGACCTTCAGAGGAGAACACTGTGCCACAAACCAAGAGTTGTGCGGCTACACAACGGGGGGTGGGCTGGGCTGGCTAAGATGGAAGCTGTGAGGGGCATTATCTTCATTTATGTTTCTCTGAGCCTCTTTCTACAGAACAAAGGGGCCAACAAAGGCCAGCCCAGGATGCATGGCCTTGTCAGCAGGACCCTGACCTGGCGTAAGGGTCAGTTCTAAAGTTACCCCAGCTGGCTGCCAGACCCAGATGGGAAGACAAATCAAGAACTCAACTAGATCTCTGCAGGAAGAAATTCAAGGAAACTGCCTGTGATTCTACCTTGGCTATTAAAGGGCTTCTTATGGTGTTTCCTAAAGGTGACCTTGGCTGACCGAGAGCCCCCAGGTCACTGCACCAGGCACTGAAGTGGCCTCTGCCAGGGGGCTGCCACACACAGCCTCATTTCCTAGACTGTCACTAATTCATGGAGCTTGCTCTCCAGTGGCTTCACTAGAGTCACTCAGATTTAGTGTACAACTGTTCAACTGTTTATTTGGTGACTTTGGATGCAGCTTTGAACTGCTCAGCATGGAGTTCTGCCCTACAAAAAAAAATATGCATACACTGACATAGGCATACATTAAGGGCCTTTTAAAACTGAATCTCAAACACTATAAAAAAGGCAAACTCCTAAAGGAATTCACTCCTGTCTTTGCTTCCTCCTTGGTATTTTTTGAGAAGACAGCAAAGGAGTGAGTAGAAAAGAAAAATCTGAGTAATTTCCCCCATTAGCACTTTGGCACATGGGAGCCAGGTTTAGGTGAGACTCAGTTCTACTCAACTCATACAGAGGGGCACAGAAAAAGGGTCTACCAAGTCTTCCAGGAGGTTCAAAAAGAGTCTCATGGCATTTCCACTGGTGTGAACTCAGGGATTGAACTTAGGGGTACTTGACCATTGAGCTACATCCTCAGCCCTATTTTGCATTTTACATAGAGACAGGGTCTCCTGACTTACTTAGCGCCTCGCTTTTGCTAAGGCTGACTTTGAACTCATGATCCTCCTGCCTCAGACCCACAAGCCGCTGGAATTACAGGCATGCGCCATTGCGCCTGGGTCCACTGGTGTCTTTACTGGAGTTACACTGAACAAATCTCCTCCCTGATAAGAACATCCAATACTGAAAATGTACATCTCACATAGCTGCCAAAAGTCAATTCTCGTTTTACTCTACAAATATGTATTTTGGAAATTTCTCTAGCTGTTGTTTATGGCTTAATTAAATATCCCCAACCACCCACCTCTTCTTCTAAGGATATTTAGTTACTCCACAGCTTCTAACAGACTTGCCTGGTCAGCCCTGTTTGAGAGGCCACCTGGGATTTTCACCTCAGCAAATCTACTCCAAGGAAATGAAACCACAATGGACATTAATAGTGTGGTCACATTACAAATTCAGGAAACAAAAGCTCTTTTGCTTTTATAATTTCAAAGGCTTCACGGTGGAGGAGACGCTGAGGGGCTAACCTTTACACTTGAAAGAGGGGTGCAGCAGATTTCAGCCAAGAAGAAACTTTTTGTTAAGGTCCTTAAAGTATTATTAATTATAGCACGAACAAGTAAGAACCATAGTTCTCCATCGCTTAGGCAACGAAAACATGAATGTTGTTCTAGAATCACATGAACACCACCATGGATAAGTGCCCTACTTATTGCAGTAACTTGGATCAGGTAGTGTTAACATGATGGGGAAACACATGGATAGTGATGGCAAATTGTGCTTTTCACATTATTACAAAGATGCGAAACCCAGAAAGGATGAGGGGACCTCTGGAAGGCCAAGGGCAGAGAGGGAAGGCTGTGATTCCCAGCATCACAACCACAAAGGGAAACACTTGGGGACCACGAGGAGGCAGCACTGAGGGTGGATTTAAAGACAGGTGCTTCCTCTTGTTCCCTATAAATACTAGGGAGCTGTGAGCAGAGCCCTTTGGGGAAAAGGCTCCAGGAAGTGATTCAGGAGATGAAAGTAAGAGAGACAGGGGTCTGGATTCTCTTGGGGGCTGGAGACTCAACATTTTGCTTGCTTTTTAATTCCAAGAATGGGAATAACAGGTCACACAAGATAATTTTTATCCCTGTAAAAAGATGTTATACCATTCTTTTGGTGACAGCATACCCAAGTACCACTACCCAGTTCCTAAGGGTAAGACATAAAAATGCATGTATCACAAGTTCAGGTTGGTTGGAAATCTCAATTTCTTCAGGACAAATTGGTAGTTTCTTTCTGAATTTCAGAATTAAAAAAGCTCATCTGGGTTTTTTGTTTGTTTGTTTGTTTTTTCCTTATCCCCCTGAAAGCTTTTTCAGACACATTTAAAATAGCCAGGGGATATCAGCTTTTCATAAGGCGCCAGTTGCTGCTCAGACCCTGGTACACTGTTCAAAGGACAGCTCTTCCAGCACAGCCTGCTGAGCGAAGTGGCCAGCTGCCATCCTCACACGGAGAACTGCCTAGAGGGACAGCAGAGGGGAGCGACCAGCGTCCACAGGTACAGCAGCACGCACACCCAGCAGGAGGCCATCTTGATCCAGAAGATGGACCAGCTCCCGCTGAAGAAGGTCTCGATGCTGGCACTTTCATAGCTGTTGGAAATAAGACATCCAGCCATTAGAATAGAAAGGAAATGAGGGGAGAGTCTCTGCCATTAAGGGCCTCCCTGCTTCCCGTCCTCACTAAACTTTCTTTAAAAAAAAAAAAAAAACCCACTGGAGGTATAATTCACACCCATTTAGAATGCATAATTCAGTGGCTTTTAATAAGCTCAGACTTGTGCATCATAACTACTATCAATTTTGTAACATTCTCATTACGCCAGACCTGCACACCCCTAGTTCCCCTACCAAGCTCAGTTCCCTGATCCGCCTACATTCATTAATCTATTAATCTGTCTGTATGGACTGGCCTACTCTGGACATTTCATAGAAATGGAATCATGCAGCCTCTGTGACTGGCTTCTTTTTTTCTTAGCATATTGTTTTCCATGCTCTTTTCAGGATGTAGTATGTATCAATACAGGTTGAGTATTCCTTATCTGAAGGCTTGAACCACAAATGTTTCAGAGTTTGGAGTTGTCTCAACTTGTTTGATAACTTACGATAGACAGATTTTGGAATATTTGCATGGACATTACTGGGTGAGCATTATTAATCTGCAAGTCCAAAATCTTAAATGCACCAAAATAGGAAGCTTTTTGAGTGTAATATTAGATTTCAAAGCATTTCAGATTTCTGAATTAGGGATGCTCAACCTTGCTTCATTCCTTGTTACAACTATATAATATTTCATTATATAGACTTGGCATATTTTTTAATCATCAGTTGTTGGACATTTGGCTTATCTCTGACTTTACACTGTTATGAATCATGCTGACATTAATATCTGTGCACAACATTTTAAATGAATATAATTTTTTTGGGGGGGTACTGGGGATTGAATTCAGAGGCACTTAACCATTGAGCCACATCCTAAGTCCTATTTTGTATTTTATTTAGAGACAGGGTCTCACTGAGTTTCTTAGCACTTCACTTTTGCTAAGGCTGGCTTTGAACTCGTGATCCTCCTGCCTCAGACCCCTGAGCTACTGGGATTATAGGTGTGCACTACCGTGCCCAGCCATAATTTTCTGTTTGTCTTTTGTTTTATACTTCAGAATGGAATCACTGGATCATATTTGTGTTTAACCATTCTAAGAACTGTCAAAATATCTTCCAAAGCAGCTTCCTTTTACATTTCACCAGCAACACAAGAGGGTTCCAATTTCTCCAAATCCTCAACAACATTTGTCATTATCTGCCTTTGTTATTACAGCTCTCTTCACCCTTTCTTCTGCATCCCAAGTCAAAATTCCCCAGGAATTCTCAAAGCATCACAGGGAAGCATTACAAGTTCCTTCCCCTCCCTCATGGAGACATTCGGGGATGGCAGGCATGGTGATCCCAGCTACTCAGGAGACTGAAGACCGCAAGTTTAAGGCCAGCCTGGGCAACTTAGTGGGAGCCTTGCTCGAACTAAAAACTAAAAAGCTCAATAATGGAGCATCCCTGAGTTCAATACCAAGTATCACATACACGACAAAGGGATGTTCGGGAAGAATATCCTCAAAGAAGTCTTTTCCTATCAATGGGTCTGAAACTTCACCCCCACCCGACTGGTATTTTTCATCCCCTTGCCTCATTTTAGTTTTATACCCAGTGCGCCTCATTTTATGACACTGTAATTGACTTGAGTCATGATGTGTCTCTCCCACTAAGCTATCAGTCCTGCTACCTATGGCAGGGTGACACAGAGGATCCATTTGCTGAATCAAAGACAGTACAGAGAGCCTGCTATCTCTCTAGTGTCTATCCTAAGTTATCAAACAAATTGTGAAACAACGGAAACTTTGGAACAGTTTGAAAAGTATGAATTTCCACATAGTAACAGAGAAAGTCAGGTCTGTTACATAGCAATAACTTAAAAACTAGAAAAAAAAAAATCAGTACAGTGGCACATGCCTGTAATCCCAGCTCCTCAGGAGGCTAAGACAAGATCATAAGTGCAAGGCTAGCCTGAGCAACTTAGCGAGAACCTGTCTCAAAATAAAATTTAAAAAGAGCCAAGGATGTAGTACCCAGGTAGAGAGCCCTGCATTCTATCCTAGTACTGCACAAAGAAAAAAATAAAAAAGAGACAACATTTGAAGTAGGAGAAACAAAAAAAGGATATTTTCTTCTTTTAAAAAAAGTATTTTCCTCCATTGCTATTACTGTGTTTTTTAATCAGCCTTGTGGAGTTCATCCATTATTTCTCTTTTGTTTTGTTTCTGGGTGCTGGGGATGGAATCCAGGGACTCTCACTCTACCTTTGAGCTAGACCCCCACTAACCTTCCAACTCTTAATGCTGCAGTAAGCACCACTAATTCCCAGGGTGAAAAGGACGCTGATCAACAGGTAAGGACTGTTTGTTCTTAAGGCTATGGGTACAGCAAGACCTGGAGAAGGGTTTAGTTCCTCCAGGAAGTCTGAGCTGCATCCTGGCACTTCAAAAAGAACAACACTTAACTTAATTTTTTGAATAATCAAGTGGGTCACTCACTGGAACCAGTTGGTAACAGTCATCATCACATACAGGGAAGCCAAAAAGAACACGAAGTGGAAATAGGAATAGCTGTAGACAGTGCCTCTCTTCTCATCATAAATGACCCGAGGTCCCTCTTTCACATTCTGCTGCTCTTCGGTATCTGCAAATCACAAAGGGGGCCCAAGCGAAGAGAGTCAACATGAGCACACCTCCGGTCTTAGCACTCATTTCTGTCCCAGTAGCTGCTGAGCAGAAAAAACTATCCAGAGCCATCTTTCCCCCGACCCTCACCCCATAACTCCCTTGATCAGAAGAGTCACCAAGCACCATGTTTATGTTAGCAGAGCAAAAGAAAGAGAGCCCTTAAAGACATAAAGCATATTAGAAGCAGAAAGGGAGAGAATTGCCTCTGGGACCCTCCCTTCCAAAAGAGCAGTAGTTCAAGGAACAAAATGGCCCTAAAATGAAATGTCAGGACCTCTTGGATTTTCCAAGTCCTTCCTTTAAAAACTGTATGTTCCACTTTCCTAAGTCTTATTGTATAAGTTAACTTCAATACGAGTCAGAATACAGACTGATTTTCCCCACCAGAATATCAACACAAACAAAGCTCCTTGAGGAAGAATGAGAAAGTATTGTGGAACAAAAATTTCCCCCTTACTGTTCAGGACATTAATATCTGGATTGCAAATGCCTACAGTGAGAGCTGCGAGCCCACAGGGCCCAGGGACACACGGAATGAGAGTATGCCACTTACCCACTCCATCAGGCCCGAAGCAGAAACAACACCGAGCTACCTGGGAAAGCAAACGAAACACAGTCAGACGCCTGGTTTTTGCTTGCTATTTCCTCATCAGTAAAGAACTAGGGGACACCCATGTGCCAACCCTGCCCTGCTGGAACCATGGCTTAGGCCCTGAGCTACACACTTCATCCTCTCAGAAGAAATGATTAAGCACATGCTGTTTCCCAGATAGGCCAGGTGCTGGTGACTGGAAACACCATGGACATGGAGATGTGTCACCCAGACCTCCTCAAAGGGCTTGGTGCTCCCCCCACTGAGTGCTGGGAATAGAGCCTCCAGATAACAGTTCCCTAATACTGCAGGTCGGCAGCAGATCTGTCCAGCCCCACAGCCAGCGCCTGCCCACAGCAAGCCCTACCTGGGCTTCCCCCAAGGAATGATAGACCAAGCAGGCAGAGAAGAGCCTGCTATTAGAACCATCAGAAAATTAGGACCCCCAGGAACAACATGCTCTGGGTCATACGAGCACCCTCTGGGGTTAACGAGGCTTTTCCAGCCTATACTGCCCTTCAACTTCACCCTCTGCCCAACTCTGCCACCTCATAAGACAAGAAGTCCCCCTCTTCTTGCACTCCCTGCTAGTATGACCTCATCAAATCCTCTTTAACCTTTGAGATTGGGACTATTATTCTGTTTACATTTGTAAAAACCAAGTTAAATAACTGGCCTGAGTCACCAAATTAGCTCAGTGTCACAGGATGGAGACCACAGGGTCTATGATTCATAATAAATGAGATAGGATACTAACAAGAGTAAAGCTGACAGAATCTGAAATGGGAAAGTTAAGGAATTTGGAAGGACAAGGCCGGTCTACATTTCCTATCAAGACAGTCTGGGAAGTGTGGGGTCATCAAAATTTTCTGGCAGAAGACGTATGAAGTACAAAAAAACAGCCAGGCCCGAGGATGTGGGCGCTCTGGACTTTGTCCTGTTTGAACCCCTCCAGGCCAAGTCCTTGTTTCCCTCCTGAGTGGTGAGTAAACATGTAATAGAGGTATCAGCCTTGACAGAGCCTTGGAGAGTGTGACCTGGTTTAAGATTCAATATGCTAATTCACTCAGTGAGCCCAAGACCCGGTAGGCCGAGGTCCTAGTTCTTTTGAAGCTTAAGTTACCACAAGAAAATATCAGCCCTTTCTTTTAAAAGGTGTATCCTGTGAAACTGGAGAACAAACTGACTTGCTCAGAGGGAAACCCACTGGGCCATTTCCCCACAGAGTGAGAAGAACAACATCCTCTCTTAAACCTAACTTAGAGACTTGTTTTTCTTTGAGCTTGCACTCTGTACACAATAGGGACATTGAAACCATAAGCATCTAGCCTCAGCAGGTGGCCACCCAGTCAGTTGTGAGAACAAATGCCTGCCTTAGAGACCATTCTCTTCTGTATAGTAGGCAGCAACCTATTCAAAGTCCTCACAGTTTTCTCCTTTAAGTGACAGAAAAGTTGGTGAATGATGCTGGCAGAGTGACAAGCCTTCATAATAGTCCACTATGTTGGGGTCAGGTGCAGGAAAGCCCATCCCTAGACACCCAGCTGCAGAGTAAAGTGCCCATAACTGGACAGACACCAGGGCTTTTCCATCCAGAGAAAATCATTAAAATGCAGACAGTGGCTGGATGCCAGGCAAGGCCAGCAGCAAGGACCAGGAGACATCAGCTGAGCGCCTGGGCAACATGGTCAAGAACACGGACACTGGGGCCTCAATTCGAGGTTTCTATTCTGGCAAATTGAAACCTACAAGTTTAAATGACTTAACTTTTCCATTCCCCCGCCTCCCCCCCCTCCGTGACAATGGAGATACAGTTAGCAGGTCACTAGGTTTTTGTTTTTGTTTTGTGTGTGTGTGTGTGTGTGTGTGTGTGTGTGTGTGTGTTTTTACAACATTTAAAAAGAAATCACATATGGAAAGCTTAGAATAGTGCCTGGCACATCAAGTGCTATCCATCCTAGCCACCAATGGAACCCTTGCTCCATGCCATTTGGGGGGTCAGGACTGAGTCTTTTCCTGGTCACCTCCATCTGCTTGACCTTTCTAGCCTTAGTCAATACCCTAGAAAGAGACTTTGACCACCTTAATTCTTGGGACATGCAGGAGAAGGAACTGATGGGCCTGAAATCAGTGCACTCATAGTTCATAATTCTTTACCCAATGACATGCCCACCTGATGGACCTGATACAGTCAGGTGAGCCCATGCATTTACCTGTTCAGTAGTGTCTGCGCAAGACACGCAGTTCCCTCACTTTCCCATCTTTCTCTCCCTTCAAAACAACTGTTACATAACCTCATAGTTACACTGCATATGTAGGGCACATCAGAGAGAAAACAGATAAGTGGAGCAAGAATTAACACATACACACACACACACACACACACAGAATTTTATGACCAAAGAAAAATTATGCCAGTCTTTGGTGGAGGGTGGGCAGTAAGATGCTATGCAAAAGGCCAATACTATTAAAGGAAAAATTAAGAATTACTTGTTTCTTTGTGTATATGGGGTGTGGGTGTGCATGTGCTGGGTATGGAACCCAGACCCTCTGCTTGCTAAGCACTACCACTGATCTATATCCCCAATCTAGGTGATTTATTGTAATCCCATACTATATACAGGAAAGGGTGTGTGTGTATGTGTGTGTGTGTGTGTGTGTATTATTTTTTCCTGAGCAGATAAAGAGGATCATGGAATGCAGATTAATAAAGACACAAACACAAAAGACCTTCCTGAGAAGTGGATCTTGAGTAGAAGCAGGAAAAGAAACAAACTTACTTCCAGTTCAGGAGCTGCATATCGCCCCTGCAGAGCATCAGAACTTGATCTTGTTGTTGATGTCAAACTAAGAAACAAACAAAACGTCAGCAGGACATATTAACATGGTCTGTTGCCTAGAACAAGGGAAAACTGCATGGCCACTGATCCAGTGAGAGACTTACTTATAAGCTGTTCTTAAACAAAAGTACAGTTGCTGTCCTGGCCTCATCTGCAGATTAAATCAACTGCAGATCAAAAATATCTGGGGTGGTAATGTCTACGGTGAACATGTAAAAAAGAAAAAATCCCCCTTTCCTTTTTCCTTTAATAACACAATATAATAACTATTTACATAGCATTTGCATTGCATCAGGTACTATAAATAATCTGAAGATAATTTAAAGTATAGGGAGGATGTTCCTGAGTTCACCACATCATCTTATACAGGGGCCTTGAGCATCTACAGATTTTGGTATCCATCTCAGGGTGATGAAGTCCTGGAACTAATTAATCCCTACAGACACTGAGGGATGGCTGTAGTCTTTTTTTTTTTTTGTACTAGGGATTGAACCCAGAGGTGCTTTACCTCTCAGCTATATCCCCAGCCTTTTAATTTTTTTTTTTTTTAAATTTGAGACAGGGTCTCACTATGTTGCTTAGGGCCTCACTAAGTTGCTGAAGCTGACCTCTAACATGCAATTCTCCTGCCTCAGCCTCACAAGTTGCTGGGATAACAGGATGAGCCACTATGCCCTGGGGTAGTCTATTCTAATATCCCACTTTATTCCTAAACTGACTGTCCAAATTCTCCAGCTGATATCTTTTTATGTGCATTGCATTACAGCATTTTATGCAAAGGGAGGTATAGAGAAATACGATTGCCTTTTGATACTCTATCTTGGCTTTTAGTATTGGTTTTTGCCTCTCCTCCCTCTAATGTCAAAATAATTTTCTGATTTCACCTTTATTTTTCCTTCCCTATGAGTAGTCTTACTTAGAGGGACTCAAAAGCTATGAGGGAACCCAGAGGTAGCAACAGAAAGCAAAAGTACAAAAGCAAAAGTCACAGTCATTTACTGTGATAGTCGCCTATGCCAGAAGGACATTTCCCTTTGGAAATTTAACACAGAATAGCTTTCAGCGTAGTTTAAAAAAAAAAAAATCTTCTCATAATTTTCCCCACATCTAGAGAGGCAAAATGTTATAAAATTTGGTTTACAAGGGTAAAGCCTTATTTTTCTCTAAAAACAAAAACACAGAAACATTCTAAGCAAATATAAATATATATAATACTTAGGGTTCCAGTATTAACTTGATAGATTCATTAGCAAATATGTAATGAAGTTCTGTTGTATGTCAGGCTGCCTTCTGAGCACTGGGACTTAGAAATAAAAAAGGCAACAATCCCGCCTCACAAAGCTTCCGAGCTTGCTCAGAGATGGGTGACAAGTGTTGCTCTCAGGAAGCTGGTTGCTAGTGGACAGGCACAGAGACTCATTTTGATCCAATAAACCCCATGAGGCAGCATGGCCTTCTTTGCTCATTTTCTTCTTTCCCAAGGAAAGATCAATGAGCTACAGAGAAACCATAAAAAACCTTGCTCACAAAGAGGTCCTCTGGGATCCACCCACTTTGCTGTTCTACAGTCCACACAAGTCCAACAGCCTCACTTTTATTTCTGCTTTGAAGTGATAGATGCTAGTGCAGGCCCACTCCATTCCCACTTCCTGACTTGGAATGCACATATCTGCCCCTGCACTTAATTTAAGAGTGCCTAATATTTGGTTCATATGAATTATGTTTTAGTATAGTATAGAGTTTTCTCAGGGGCAAATGTCATTTTGGGGAGGGGGTACTGGGGATTAAACTCAGAGGCACTCAACCACTGAGCCACATCCCCAGCTCTATTTTGTATTTTATTTAGAGACAGAGTTTCGCTGAGTCACTTAGCACCTTGCTTTTGCTGAAGCTGACTTCGAACTTGAGATCCTCCTGCCTCAGCCTCCCAAGCTGCTGGGATTACAGGGGTACGCCACCAGACCCAGCTGTAACTTTTAATTTTAGGATGAGATTGACACCTGAAATCTTCATTTGAAAGATGATAAATGAATATTCTTCAAGAGATACACTTAATTGTTAATTGTAATTCCATTTATAATTTTTTTTAATAAGACTGTTTCAGAAAGACAAAGCTTCAGATTCGAACACATTTGTCACTTCCTTTCTTCTATCAGAGAGCACCAAACATGGGGAAGGTTTTATTTTGACTTCTAAAATATTAATCTCTAGTTCATCATTTAGTGCCATGATTTCTTTTTTTTAATATTTATTTTTTAGTTGCAGTTGAACACAACATCTTTATTTTATTTATTTATGTTTATATGGTGCTGAGGATTGAACCCAAGGCCTTGCACATGCGAGGCGAGCGGTCTGCAGCCCCAGCCCCTAGTGCCATGATTTCTATAAGTAGATGTTAACATAAAATAAGGTCATAATATTCAGTCACAGCCTTTCCCCAAGTAAAACTCTCTTCTTGGAATTATCAAGAACATATTGATTTTACAAGCTCTTTAAGCTAGGAAATTCTTATTGTCTGCATGCAGGCTGTTACAAAGACCCATCTATTTGGTCAGCATAGCATAAGTAGCTATAAAAGAATCCCCAAGTTCTCTTAAGGTCTTCTCTTCCAGGGCTAAGGTATGTGTGACTTTAACCTGGAACTTCCTGAGGGAATAGGGGGAGACTAACAGCCTATGGCCCAGGCAATGCTTCATCTTCAGAAAGCATCTAACTCACTATAGCATGTTCACCATCCCAGGACCCACAAATGCCAGTAGAGCCTCACAGCCATTAAGAAATCCCTCAAAGTGTTGCCCTCCTTCCTTTCCCCCACCACTGTAGTAGGCCCAATCTCTTCCATATTGTGCACAACACAGGTTCCCCTTAGTACCTGCTTTAGTTGATTTTGGAGCCGGCCAAAGACCCTTGGGTTATTGAAAATCTCTAAGGAACATGTGCAGACTTTGCTACTAGATGTCATAAATCCTGTCCTCCCTGACAAACTCACAAGGCAGGCCTAAGAGGGATGGACTTATAGAAAGAAGCCCTGCAAATGGGCCAAGGTGAGATGGGTCCAAATTGGGATGCTCCTTTACAGCCATCATTCCTGGGTGCAAGGGATGGGAGCTCTGGAGACGTGATGGACACAGGTGGAGAGCCAGGAAGTAAGTTTTGGCTGAGCCCTTCTTCCTTCTTCCTAGCTGAGATGGCACTGAGTACAATCTGCTCTCAGTGACACCGCAGTAGCAGCCCTCATGAGAGGGAGAGCCCCAAAAGACTTAAGCGTCTGAGTTGTGGACCAGGGAGACTCCAGAGAGGTGAGAAGAAGAGAGCTCAGTGGGCTGAGCCTTCCAGAACTTCACAAAAAGTGAACCCCAGGCAATCTGGGCCTTGCAATGAACGCTGGTGATTTCTGTCTCCCTTTAATTTGCACACTACTCAAATCTCCTAACTTCCTACAATTTCTATCAAGAATTATAGATATCTCTGCAATCATGTTCAATGTGGCCTCTTTTTGTAACCTCATCCAACCCTTCATTCTCTTTGAGCCATGGAGGAAAATGTAAACTTGAAGAAGAACTGAAAACCCCCAAATGGGCCAAGGCCCATCACTTCTGTGAGAGGCCGATTTGTAATTTGTTTAGACGGATTTGTGATTTGTTTAGAGCCGTCTCAAAGCTGACGCCTCCTGGGGCTACAGTGAGTAATTACAGCAAACATCAATCATCAGACCCCCATATGGCACTTCACTCACTCTTGAGAGGAATAAACTGTCCATCTGCACCGAGCGTGTTCATGCCTCTGGGTTAAAGAAACATCTCACAGAGTAGGCTGGTTACCCTCAGCTCCACTTTGTGTGAGCTGCTATTTTATATCTCATCACTCCATTGGCTACTACAGTTTTACAGTTTAATTCATGGCATTTAATAAGCTTTGTTATTGGCATTTAGACAGATTTTAAATGGTAGCTGTCAGCTTTGAAAATTGACATCTTTGGTGAATATCAGATTAGCCCTGCCTGACTTCCATTGTAATGCCTTAATTTTGAAAGAGACATTTTATGTATCATCTCTCACTCAAGGGCAGATTCAAGGGTGGCTAAAAAGTGATACTTTATGCTTACTAGAAAACCCAAGATGTGATTGAGTGAAAATTCCATGCTGTAAAATAACTCCAATTCCACGTGGTAATTTTACACAACACATTAAGTAAAATCTTTGCTATCTTTTTTTATAGTAAATTCAAATTCTATTTTGTCTAAGCGGTAAACTACCCTCCATCCCATAACCCATTGACCATCCAGCCCGGTTTTGCTCTGTAGGGTAGAACACACCTATAATCCCAGCAGCTCAGAAGCCCCAGTAACTTAGCAAGGCCCTAAGCAACTTAGTGAGACTCTGTCTCAAAATAAAAACATTAAAAAATTTTTAAATGGCTAGGGATGTGGCTCAGTGGTAAAGCACCTCTGGATTCACCATCTAGTACCAAAACAAAACATAAGGTTTTACGTTGTAAAATACCTTTGTATTTTTTATTTTATTTTTTGTAATACAAAAATTAAAAAGATATGCTATCTCACTATTAAAAAAAAAAAAAAGCTGTTAAGAATAAAAAGGGGGCAGGGAGAAATACCAGTTATCTCTAATGCCACTATTATTATAAGTGGTTTATTTTCTTTCTGGATTTTTTCCTACATGTGTAGATACAGCTATATTTTATTTTAAAAGTGGATATGCGGTTTAGTAACCTACTTTTCTTCCCCTGATTTACAAGCATTTTGCCTGCCAATACAGAAAACAACTCAGTGAAAAATCATGAATTGAGCTTGTTGCTGCCATTTCCCCTCAAAGCCCAACAATAACAGACTCAGGAAGGAAAAGCTTACTCAAGGAAGGAAGAGCCAAGAATCAGAATTCAAAATCTCCATAACTTTATGGGTATTTTCAAATGTTCCATTGAATTGGGCCTGAATTCCATTTGCTAATTTGTAGAAAGCAGGTACTCAGTGAACAATGTGTGGAATAAATACAAAAGAAAGCACAGAAAGTGGCCATCATGGTCCCTTCTGCTGCAACAAAGAGACTCTGTCACTATGGGACAGACTAAGGACCAATATTAGACCACCATCATTCTAACTACCTGCAACATAACAAGTGTTCTCTGGCTGATACATACTCTGGCCTGTGTCCTTGTGGGCCCCCTTCTAACAGTAAGAGTAGTGAGAAAAAGTGCCAACATGCTCAGAATGACATTTTGTTTACACACTCTATCACCATCAGGACCGTTTAGTTTCAGTAAAAGGAAGATATAATGTGCCCACAGCAAGGTGAAATTCTTATACGCTGAAACATTAACAAACAACTTATAAAACACACAGAAGTAAAACCTACTTGTGAAAAAGTTACTGTCAAAAAGAAGCTTAATTGTCAATGAAATATGTAAGAAGCCATTCCTATCCTTGACTATTCTTTCCCTAGCATTTTTGAAACCCTTTCAAAGTGGAAGGTTTTTTCCACATGAGCATCTGAAAGGCATCTACTCTGGGAGGGGCTGCCTTACCTACTCACAACACTGTGGGTTTTAGCATAAAAAAAGGATATTTCCTGTCTTTCCAGGACAGAATGCACAGAATGACCATGTATGCAGAGCGCTGTACTCTTTCAGCAACAACAGAACAAATGCGATTTCCCTTGAATTAAAAAAGTTGCCAGAATATTCTGGCAATACACTAACTCTTCCTCACTTTTTGTTCCCTTGCTCTTCAAGAATGCTATAACAACTAATATTCAACTGTCTTTTAAAGGGCATTAGGTAACATTACTACAATATACTGTGTGTTTATTCTTACTTACCCCAATAAATACAAGTAAGGTAAACAGTTCCAACATGGAGAGTTCACATTGTATCTCTTTGTTACTTCTGGCCATTTCTCCCTTCTTCAGATGGTATTTGTTTTGCTGCTTCACAGGTGCTGAAACTTATTTAAATTCTTTTCTTATAATTTCAAAGTCTGCAAATTGGCCTCAAGGAACTCCTAAGACTTACCAAGAATATAAGATGCACCCAATCAAGAGGATAGTACCCAGCGTAGTCACCAAGTTTTCATCTCTATATAGGTCCTGACCAAAGTTGGGCACACAAATGGTAACATTCTTCCCATGTTCATCCAGAGCTTGTACAGAAAACAAAGTAATAAGAGTTCAATTAGAAAAGCCTATTGTAATTCACAACAGCATTCATTTGGGGAAAATTCAGGTAACTCTAGTGTGATTCCTTAATCATTGGAACCTTCTACTGTATCGCCAAGTCTATTCAGACTAGATTTTTGTTATTTCAATGCACCACTCTTGCACATTGGCAAACACTTGGAGCGAGACTCTCACATTCCAGATTATTGCTAAAGGGAATAATTGAAGAGACTTTCTCTTTTTTAGTACTCTTCAAACAATACTGAAAAGAAAAAGTCAGATCCATTTTTCACTTGATTTGGGAGCTGCTGAAGACAGAGGGGCAGGGTGCTGAGGCCAGTCACAACTAACTCACAGGAGCAGTATAAGCCTCCTGGCCCAGGCTCCTAAACCAGAGAGGTCAATTTATGTAGGTAACACAAAGGTCCTGACCTCTTTTGGTCTATAACTTAGGTCTGAACTTTGAAAAAATGTGAAAGGCTACATATAAAGATTTCTGTAAGTGGGGCCCAGTGTCACCCACCTATAATTAATTCCAGCAGCTCCCTAGGCTGAGGCAGGAGGATCACAAGTTCAAAGGCAGCCTCAGCAACTAAGCAAGGCACTAAGCAATTCAGTGAGACTCTATCCCCAAATGATATACATAAAAGGGCTGGGGATGTGGCGCAGAGGTTAAGCAGCCCTGAATTCAATACTGGGTACTAATAAGAAAAAAAAAAAAAAAGATTTCTCTAACATTACCACCAGTGGTTATTTACTTTTTGTCTATCCTGCTGTGGTTTAAAAACCTCTTTATCCTTAGGCCAATGAAAATTTTTGAACAAACTATAACTTTTCTATTTAAGTGGTGCCACCTGAAGAAATAAATGTGTTTTGCTATTTTTAAGCGATATTTGCTATTTTAAAAATACTGTAAACAAAAATCCCATTAAGTAAAAACGAGATTAACATACAAACAAAAGTCCCATTAAGTAAAAACTGGAGATTAATATACAGTCATAAAAGAAAACCTGAAAGAGAAATGGATTTAAATAAACATATAGAATCAAAATAGGCCCTTTTCTTTTTTAAAAATTAAATCTAGAATAGTCTAAACTTACTGTAAGACTTCTAATTATATCACTTTTCATTATAAATAGCTATGAAGGCAATTCACAAAAATAGTATCCATATATGCTAAAACCTTCAAAATTATCATTGCCTTTGCTTTCAAAATTTAAAAGACTTCAATTTTCTAAAGAGACTACATTTACTCATTTAATATAAGATGAAACATAGCCCCAAACACACATATTCTTATGTGTTGTGTGTATGTATATCACAAGTAATAAAGGTAAGGATAAAATATAATGAGCTTGAAATCAAAAAGAAAACTTGATCCTTTACTGGCAATTCTTAGGAGTCTATATTAATATCACAGGATATGAGTGTTTTTAGCTTAAAACCCCTTTTTAAATAATCCACAATTCTACAATAGTAGCAACTAACCCTTACATAGAACCTACTATGAGCCAGGAATGGTTCTAAGTGATTGATATATATAACTTGAGAGCATTCTCACTAAATTCTTAAAAGCACTCTAATGAACCAAACTATAAACCCAGGCAGTCTGACTCCAAAGATCACACTAACCACTATGTTCTGCTGTCTCTGTAAATAAATGTCATTTAAGATGAGCAGTTGAGGTCACCCACCAACAAGTGGTGGATCTGGATTAAAATCCTGTATTCTGCTTCTTTCTCCTGCCATATCTTTCCATTTTGTCTCTGTTACAGAGAAATAAGCTCCTAAAGAAAATTAATAACCAACTAAAAACATAAATAAAGCAAAAAAAAAAAAAAATTCCTTGAGAACAATACAGCAGCAAAATACAAAATAGACTAACAGCAAGAAGACCCAGAAGAAGGAATTTTCATTATAGCCCAAGTTAAAGACTTTGTTTCTTGAAAATGTCTAGATCATCATCTTTGATTTATTGAATCTTGGATATTTTAACAACAGCTCATGAATATATTCACACCACAGACACGTGCTTCTAACAAGGCTGGCTTACCTACTTCTACAGGTTTGCTAGATAGAGCTGAGAAAGTGAGGTATGTGACGTAGCAGCTGATGAGCCCTGACTGCAGCAGCCCAGAATGTGGCTGACCTAGAAAATGACAAGAGACAGAGTGAAGATCAGTCTTAATAGGCCCCCTCCCCCCGCCCCAGCCCCAATTGCATTCTTTCAACTTGAAGGCGCACCTCTGGGAGAGAAAAGACATATATAATGTGTTTCCCATATAGAACTTAAAATTCAGGGGGAGGGAGTTATACACCCAGCCTAATGCTGCTATTTCAGACATGCCAAATTCTGCCAAGTTCTCCACCAACACCTTATCAAAGTTGTAACTATCCATAAACACACTGCTTAGTTCCCCTGAGGTTTATAACTTTAGTTCTTAAACCACAAGATCAGGAAAAAAAAAAAAATTACCACCATTATTTTGTGAGACCACATAATTTAGCAGAGTAAATAAGACAGATTTCTCAGGGTGTGCATCCTGGATGATTCTACAAGATTATTAGATACTCTGTAGTCCAAGATGGCAAACCCTCCCACCCCTACAGACACACACACACACACACACAATACCTTATCTGTCAATGAAAAAAAAAAGGGGGAGTGGTGGGGCACACTAAATGAGTACAAAAGATAGTCCAGGCTAAAGAAGAAAGGTATGAGGCTTGATATTCACTGGGAGAAGAGTTTTAAAGTTATAATATTTAAATTAAAACTTTGGATCATTCAGAGTAACCAGTATGTGCCAAGGGATTTTCTCTTTTTTGGTAAAATTTTCAACTATCTGTTGACATGAAAATATTCAGCCTTCCCTCTGGTTAAATTTGCTTCCAAAATGATCATTCTTGAATTATAATTATCCATAAAGGTATAGGAATAGACTCACTTATAATATTGCCCTTTGGCCTGAGAATAAGACCTGACTTAGCAACTAATGGCATTAAACCAAATATTTCAAAATGTTAAACCTATTTCAAAAGGTAGGGTTTAACCCAAAAGAGATTTTAATCTAAACGCCAAGAGTTTGATCACTATTTTAGAAAGGATTCAAGTGGGCTGCAAACTTACTGTCCGTATTTGTCTTTTCCTACCTGGAAATCTGAATGTCCTATGCATGTGAAACATCTATACAATGAGATCACTACAAGAAACACCAGACCAGGAACATCTCTCTAACCCAAAGAGAGAACATCAGAGACATCAGAGGTAATGTACAAATGACAATTCACACTTCTACTTTCTGAAGCAATTTTCAAACCACGTGGCCTATTCCTTTGGGGCTTTGAAACACCCTAAGCAAGGTCAGACTCCCATGTTTCTGCTGACTTCCTTGAAGAAGAGCCTGGGCCTGAGGAAGGTTAGCTAACAAGGCCAGCTGCTGCCGGGATAGGAGTTCCTACTTCCTGAAGCCTAGACCACACTGTCCTTGCTATCTCCACAGCCTTGTGTGAAAGATGACCCCAGAAACAGCTCCTTCCAGAGCCCATCACCTAAGTTTCACCCAGAGGTCACAGACAAAACTTATAAACAACTTGCTTAACATACTCTAAGTACACTTCCATTTAAAGCCTCCTTCATTAAGTTCATTAAGTTTACCTTTTTGGCCACAGGTAAACCTGGTTATCACAGGTACAGAACATGAAGAGGAGACTGGCACCCCATCCCTCCTACTGCTGACCCATCTACAGTAGGTTAAAGAATGGCCCTGGTTTCACAAAACCCCACTGAGTTTGTTCAAAGACATTTAGAAACGTGGAAGAAAAGAAAAAAAAAAAAAAGTGTGCTTACGATTCTGGACACAGGGTGAGATGGCTACCATTGAAATAAGCAGGCACAGGCCTCCGTTTAATCCCAAGATAATCTTGTTCTCCATGCAGCCGACTTTCTGTGTGTAAAATACTGCCATCACAATCAAGCCCCCGACGGCAACGGAGTACATGATGAGAGTCACCAGGGACAGGGAGGCGTACCACAGCTTGTTACTGGTGGTGCCTGCAGTCCTGTTTCTCCAGGAAGTGGGTAAAACAGAGGAGAGAGAAGACAAATCAGTGAAGACCTCCACTCTTGCATGTTTTCCATCCCTCGGGCATTAACTAATGCCACCAAGTCCCATCAAGGCCACCATTCCATGTCAAGAGACACCTTTTAGCAATGATTATGCTCCATCACAGCTAGAAAGTTCCTGTAAATATGTGAACTTCTTGGTTCAGAGTAGGAATTTTCTCTAAATACTGAAAGAATTTCATTTTCTGATTCAAGTATACTCATGGACTAGGAAGAATACCCATAGAGTTTATTCTAACATCTCTACTCTACGTGTGAAATGTCCCGGCACAGGTGCTAGAAGTGTTAAGGTAGGAGGCAAGGGTGGCTCTTCCCTGAGGTTCTCTTCAAGTTTCTCTATAGATGTAGAATCCAGATCTGCCACAGTTGCTTGCTCCAAGAACTGTCAGCAGCTCCGCTAAGGTAAAGCCAACTTGAAGCAAGTCTGGCTGGCCCCAGCTCCTTTCTCCCTGTACTAAAAGGAGGATTGGCAACTGGATTGGAAAATAATATCAGAAAATATTAAAGAAGAAATGGGCATTTTTAAAAAGTAAATGCAATCAGGCAAAGAAAAAATTTACTGGTATGAACCATAAACAAACTCCTTTGAAGAATTAATGCTATATATATAGTATTAATAAAGAGATATGTACGTGTGTGGGTGTATATATATATATATATATAGTATTAATAAAGGGATAGGAAAAATAGATGGTTTAAATTCACAGAAATTATTTAAAACAAAGAAGATTGTTTCTAAATGCTGAATGGAGGAGAGAACATCAGGGTGACTGGATTGAATCACTGTCATCTGCCTCATGACTCAATTCCTCTCTGTGACCACATTCTCCTGAACTGTCACTCAGAAAGCAACTTGCTTAACATTTTCATGAAACTGGAAAGTGTTCAAACAACCCAGCTAAAATTTTTAATGATGGAAAAGTTACTGCTGCCAGAGACAAGGAAAACAGGAAGGAAAGGCCAAAATGATAATGACCATCGTATTCCTGAAACTAAGCCAGGAATGTCACAGAATTATTCAAACATAAAAAGCACATGAAGGAAATGAGAGAAAAGGAGACTCAAAAAGGGGGGGTAAATTACAGAACCAAACAATAATGGAAGGACACAGAGTGAATTATACATAAAAAGGTGACCATGGCTGACTGGTATGTGGGTAGGAGGGTCTGACTTTTTCTCCACTAGATGTTATTTGTATATGAAGAATTTTCTTATAGTTTCAGATTTATATTCCCAAAGTTTAATCTTCAGCCCTAACCTGTCCCCTGAACTCCAGACTCATATTATTCAATGTCTCCACTAAACGTTCTGATTGGCATCTCAAACTCAGCATATCCAGGCCAATTTCCTTGTGTGTGCGCCTCCCTCCCCCAAACATGCTCACGTGCAATCTTCCCAGTCTCAAAGAACAGCAATTGCAATCTGCCATTGTTGGGAGGAAGGCAGGGCAGAAACAGAATAAAGAGTTACAGTCACGCTGGACTTTCCCTGCCCCTCCCCCACACCAGAGCCATCTCCACTAGTTCCATCTTCAGATTATACCAGAATCCAACTGCTGCTGCCACCTTTCTCCAAGCTACCTCCTTCTCACCTGAATCATCGCCCAGGGGCCTCCTTACCTGCACCTGTGACCCTCCCTGATCTTAAAAACAGATTAGATTATATTCCTCACCTTCAAAACTCCTGGGAGTCCCATCTTACTTAAACACTAAAACCTTTATGCTGGCCCCTAAAGGCACAGCAATCTGGCCCAGAGCCAGCTATGATTTCATCTCCCTCATGCTTCCTTTACCTCTGGGTCCCAGCCATGGTGGATGCCCCTTTGCTCCTTAAAGGCATCCAGCAAGTTTAAGCTCAAGCTGAGTCCTGCCCCAGGCTCTCATTCACAAAAGGATAGCCTGTCCTCCTCTCCCAAGCCCTCTGCAGCTTTATTTTTCACCCGTGTACCTATTGCCTATTTGCCTGATTCTGTGTTGATGTCTATCTCCCCTCAGGACAATATTAAGTTCCACAGGACAAGCCCCGGTTGTATTCCCTGTAATACTGCCACTGTCAAGAATGATGCATAGAAAATGATAGGTGTTCACTTCCAAGACTGTCACCTGTTTTAAAAAATCACTTTTGGTGGTAATCTTAACAGAGAGGCTGCTATCCTGCTACTCCAACTTCATTTGGTCCTCCTGATGTCCTCTTGTTTTTGGAGACAGCCCAAATAAGGACTGTGATCTATTTATCTTTATACTCTCCATGCCAACCACAGTGCTTTCTGGCACACAGTTAATACTCTGGCTAAATGCAAAGCACTGAGATGGAGAAAAGAAAAGAACCAGGCAACCTTAGCAGCATGCGGGCATCAGGCTGGGATGTCAGCAGGGTTCCGGCTTAAGGTAGGGTTAAAATTAAACTAAACCAGGAGAGTGAATTTAAGATCAGTACATTTAGAAATATGTGAATATACTACCTATTTGTACAAAATTGGAGCTAGAAAAACATTTTTAAACATCTAGGTTAACCCATCACATTATTTTACAACGCCTAAATCAAGGTCAGAGAGGCCAAATAATCGACCTAAAGTGAAACTGCAAGCTAGAGGATGAGGGACACTAAAATCTGCGTTCTCCTGCTTCCAGGTCCATGGCATTTCTTTCTCTTTCTTTCTTTTTTTTTTTTTTTTTTTTTTTTGTGGGGTGGGGGGATACTGGGGATTGACCTCAGGGGTACTTGAGCCACATCTCCTGCCCTATTTTGTATTTTATTTAGAGACAGGGTCTCACTGAGTTGCTTAGCACCTTGCTTTTGCTGAGGCTGGCTTTGAACTCAAGATTCTCCTGCCTCAGCCTCCAGGGCCGATGGGATTACAGGTGTATGTCACCACACCAGGCCCATGGCATTTCTATCCTCCTGCTTTGGGGATCTTCTCCTTCTGAATATATTCACAAGAAACGAAACTTAAATGGAAATGGAATCATCCCAGATACCTGTCAATGGATGAATGGATCAAGAAAATGTGGTACACACACACAAATGCCATAATTTAATTGTTCTCTATGAGTTTTACTCATCCATAAAGAACAATTAAATTATGGCATTTGCTGGTAAGTGGACAGGAATGGAGAATATTATGCTGAATGAAATAAGCCAGACTCAAAAAGTCAAGGGTCAAGTGTTTTCTCTCACATATGGAAGCTAAGGGAAAGAAGGCAGGGGAGGGGGTGTGATTGGGTGTCAGAAAGACATAGGAAAGATCAGTGGAGTAGAAGAAGGAGATTGGGCTGGGGCTGTAGCTCAGTGGCAGAGCGCTTGCTTAACCTGTGAGGCCCTCGGTTCGATCCTCAGCACCACTTAAGAATAAACAAATAAAATAAAGCATTCTGTCATCCACAACTGAAAAAAAAAAAAAAAAGAAGAAGAAGAAGGAAACAACAGGAGGGAGCAAGAACCGGAAAGGGGAAAAGATACAGAATGAATGTAACAAAATCATGTTATATGAATATACCACAGGTAATTTCACATTAATGTATATGTAGAAAGTACCAATCAAAAATAAATAAATAAATAAACAAGCGAAAGGAAGATTAATTGAGTAGAGGAAGAAGAATAGGAGGGAGGGAAGGAAAAATGGGGGAAATAGGGATTAAAATCAAATTCCAGGTGCATATGATTTTGTCAAAATGAGCCCAACAATTGGGGCTGGGGTTGTGGCTCAGTGGTAGAGTGCTTACTAGCATGTGAGAGGCACTGGGTTGGATCCTCAGCACCACATAAAAATAAATAAATAAAATAAAGGTATTAAAAAAATGAATCCAACCACCATGTAAAACTATATACTCTAATAAAAAGTTTTTAAAAAATGAAAAGTACTTTTGTTGTTCCATCAGAAGCATATTTTCTAGGTTAACCTTGTAAGAGTTTCTCTTTAAAAATACAGGAAGGCAGGTGTGGTTGCACACTCTAGTAATCACAGCAACTCAGAAGGCTGAGGAGGAAGGATCACAAATTCAAGGTCAGCCACAGCCCCTTAGCAAGATCCTGTCTCAAAATAAAAAAAAAAAAAATAGGAAGGGCTGGGGATATAGCGGAGTGGTAAAGTGTCCCTGGGTTCAATCCTAGTACCCAAAACCAAAACAAACAAATAAAAAACCCTGGGTTTGATCCCAAGGATTGCAAAAGAAAATAAACAAAAACCCAAAACCAAAAAGACTACTATATTAGATAGATATAAAAGAAAAGAACAATATTAGTAAGCTTCCTATCTTATTCCTAATCTTAGGTAGACAAAGCAACTACAAATGTGTTGACAAAAAGGGTTTTTGTTGGGATTTTGGCCTCAAAGTCAGGGTAACAGCAACATTATTTGTTTCAAAGCTCTTAAGCTATTCTTACTGAGTAGTTTCTAGAAAGTTTTTTAAACAACCAAACTCTTCCAAAGTGCCTGTTAAAATCTGGCATCAATAATTGGTCCCAGGGCTGGCGTTGTGGCTCAGTGGTAGTGCGCTCGCCTAGCAAGCGCGATGCCCTGGGTTCAATCCTCAGCATCACACACAAACAAACAACGGTATTGTGTCCAACTACAACTAAAAAATAAATATTTAAAAAATAATAATAATAATAATTAATCCCAGAAAATGGTTTCGGAATCATTGAAGTTAGAGTGAAGAGGCATAAGTATTCTCTGAGAAAGGCTATTTTATGGGCAAATCAGGTCTTCAGTCTTTAAGATGCTAATATTTTACCATGAAGTACCCTAATTTTAGAATGACATGCTTATTTTATCTTTAAAAAAGTCACAGTGGGGCTGGGGATGTGGCTCAAGTGGTAGCATGCTCGCCTAGCATGCGTGGGGCACTGGGTTCGATTCTCAGCACCACATAAAAGCAAAAATAAAAGATATTGTGTCCACCTAAAATTAAAAAATAAATATTATTTAAAAAAAAAAAAAAAAAAAAAAGTCACAGTGAAAGAACATACATCAAGAATTATTGGACCAGGCAATGGTGCCGCACACCTATAATCCCAGAGGCTCGGGAAGTTGAAGCAGGAGGATCAAGAGTTCAAAGCCAACCTCAGCAATTTAGTGAGGCCCTAAGCAACTCAATGAGACCTGTCTCTAAATAACATACAAAACAGGGCTGGGAATGTGGCTTAGCGGTCAAGTGCCCCTGAGTTCAATCCCCAGTACCAAAAATTTTTAAAAATAAAGAATTATTGGGGAATGATATTAATTAATTAAAATGCATTTCCAACATATTATGGGTGTTTCTTCTGTGCAGAAGAGAAAATAGAGAGATATAGGGCTGGGGATGTGGCTCAAGTGGCAGCGTGCTCGCCTGGCATGCGTGTGGCCCGGGTTGGATCCTCAGCACCACATACAAACAAAGATGTTGTGTCCGCCGAAAACTAAAAAATAAATATTAAAAAAAAAAAATTCTCACTCTCTCTCTCTCACTCTTTCTTAAAAAAAAAAGAAAGAAAGAAAATAGAGAGATATAAAACTACAGTTCACCCATTTGATTTGTTTTATAAGAACTCTATTGCCTCAAAACAAGATCTAGGAGAGACCACAACATGAATTACTAGGTTTTGAGGAAGACTAAAAACACAGAAAGCATGCAATGACTTTACAGTATGACTCAACTGGGAAATCCATATAATTGTAGAGATTAAGACTTTAAAAAATTCTAAAACATCCATAGTGCTGTGTGTTTTGACTACGTAGTATGCTGTAAACATTTTAAAAACTGGACTTATTTGACTGTGTTTAATCTAATATTTACCAAATACTAAATTATTGTTTTAATTTTTATGTGTATGTGTGATGCTGGGGATTGAACCCAGGGCCTTGTGCATGCAAGGCAAGTACTCTACCAACTGAGCTATATCCCCAGCCCATAATAAATTATTAACACTATCTTTTTACTGATGTATCCCTGCAACCGTATCTCATTATCTGATTTTTAAAATACAAAAGCAGAAGAAAAGAACAACTACCAAGCCGAAGAGTATATTCAAAATAAAAAAATATTGAGAGAATTTGGACAGTGTATTTGTTTTGCCTTATCCAAGTTAAAAAAAAAAAGAAAATGATGCCCACAAAATCTACAAAAAAATAAACCCAAAATCTTATTGGGTGTAAGAAGGGGTTATTTTGGAAGCAAAAATAAAGTAAAACCAGGTGCAGTGGGACACACCAGTAATCCTACATACTCAGGAGGATGGTTGGTTAGAGGCCAGCCTGAGCAACTTAGTGAGACACTGTTTCAAAATTTAAAAAGGGCTGGGGATGTAGCTCAGTGGTTGTGGCCCTGGGACCATTCCCTAGTGGACAAAAAAAAAAAAAAAAAAAGCAGGGGGGGGGGGGGGGAACCTGCAAAGAAATTAAGACAGAAAGTAAGAGAGAAAGCAGTTAAGTGCTTGGTCCAAAATCAGAGAGAAAAACAAAACACCAGAATCACAAAGAGAATAAATTTGGCTTTAGAACTTGGCCTGTTGATTGTCTGGTTACCATTTCCTCCATGTAGCTCAACAACAACCGCAAAAAATATCTATTAATAGCTAGGCACTTCCCATTCAGCCTGGGCTATGAATTCTATTTTCAAGGCACTTAGAAAAGAGTCATCTTTTTTAAAAGGCAAGATGACTTTCAAAGGTAGGACAACAGATTTTCTAATGAAGGGATCTTTCCCTTCTTGGCAAGTTGAGATGAAACACAAATTTTGGGGAGATACTAGGGATTAAACTCAGAGGCACTCAACCACTGAGCCACATTCCCAGCTCTATTTTGTATTTTATTTAGAGACAAGGTCTCACTGAGTTGCTTAGCTCCTTGCTTTTGTTGAGGATGGCTTGAACTCTGAATCCTCCTGCCTCAGCCTCCCGAGCTGGTGCTGGGATTGCAGGCATGTGTCACGATGCCTGGCAAAACACACAATGTTTTAAAAGGAGAGAAATAAACTGACACATGCCAATAATCCCAGTGACTCAGGAGGCTGAGGCAGTAAGGACTGCAAAATTTGGAGGACAGCCTAGGCAACTCAGCAAGACCCTGTCTCAAAATAAAAAATAAAAAGGGCTGGGGATATAGCTTTGTGATAGTTGAACCCCTGGATTCAACTCCTAATACCAAACAAACAAACAAATAAATAAAAAAAAAAGAAAAGAAAGAATGAGATAAAAAAAAAATACTATATCATACACTTACAGAAGATGAATCTTCAGCTCCATAGTAGTTTGTTTTGTTTTTAATATTATAAGGATAGAAGCCTAAGATAAAGACGAAGTCTAACCATATTTAGAGCCACCGCAAAAACTGCACAGCTGGAACTAACAGGTACCAGCAATGGGATCAGTGTGGCTAACTAACATCACTGGTTGACAAGAGAGTCCAGGGGAAAAAAACATCAAAAAGTGGGAAGAAAATAAGTGTAAGAGGAAAGGGTGGAAATGACAGAAAAATAGTATTGGTAGCTTAGTGGCAGAGTGCTCGCCTCGTACCTGTAAGGCTCTGAGTTCAAGCCCTAGAATCACACACAGGCAAAAAGCGTGGGTGGGGGCCATGTTGGAGAGGTCCAAAGCACAGATGTGAAGGAAACGTGCTGGCACAGATTGTTTTTGCTGTAAAGAGACTGCTCATCTCATGGCAGAGCCTTTCTCAGAAGCAGGCAGTTTCTCTGAGTCAATGAGCGAGCTGGCTTGGAAGCTTTTCATAAGAGCACATACCAGTTTTTGTTCCATTTATGTGCAAACTCCACAATCAGAAGGAGCTGGATACCTATAAAGATGAAGCCTCCGAAGGCTCCCACGTAGCGCCAGGCTGCAAAAGAAGACCGCAAGGAGCCAATGAGAAGCACTCCATGTGTTCAGTTCAAAAGAAAGAAGTAATTTTCACTGAATACTCATTGTACCTGTGACACATTCCATTCCCACACAATCACATAAGGGGGGTACTATTATTAAATTCTCTTGCTTTCCAGATTTAAAAAAAAAAAAAAACTGAGAGGCTGTGTGAGTTAACAAAGGCTCAAAGCCAGTAAAAGGCACAGCTGGGATTTGAACACAGGCCATTTGGCTCTGGAGCATCGAAGCTTACGCTCCACACTAAACTGCCAGACACACTGACAGATGCAGTCATTCACACTATCCACAGTGGCCCACAATTTAAAAGCAACGACACACATCACCAGAAAAATCAAGGGCTTAATTCTTACTGGCTAAGGAGTCACCAGTATCCAGGGAGGAAATGAGGTTCAGACTTGGGGGACAAGAACTGAGCTCTCCTTTTGGCTCTGCCAAACAGAAGCTATGACCTTGGGTGAAGAAATATGTCACGTGGGCTACAACTTGTCCGTGAAAACGACATAGCTGAGGACTGCTGGGTCTCTTCTCATTCTAAATATACGATCCTAAACATGCTCAATATACATAAAAGTAACTCTGGAGAATAAAACCTAGCTCTAACAATCTACAGATAAAAGCAAGACTTGGATACATATTCTTATGAAAAACTAGTATGATCCTAAAAATTTAGGTGGACCTATCTGAGGGAATTGGGCTGTTCCTTATGAACTGGTATGATGTGAAAGTTTTTAATATTTTAATTTAGAAAAGTGAATCCATTTGAGTTGAACAGAGTGTTTTGAACTACTGAGATTCAGGGTCCCCAAGCCCCTTCCACCCTAGCTCCTATGGAGAAGGGGGCCCTGTTATAGCTATGATTACAGGCCTCGTGTTAAATGAATTAGGTGGGTTCACCAGGTAGGGTGGCAAATGCCTATATTGCCTCAGCAACATGGGAGCCGAGGCAGAAGTTTTGCAATTCAAGGTCAGCCTGGGCCCTGAACTTTAGCCAGACCCTGTATCAATTTAAAAAATAAAAAAGCTCTGAGGATATTGTGGTAAAGTGCTCCTGGGTTCAGTCTCTGGTACTAAAGAAAAGAAGAGAAAAAATAAAAAGAAGATGTTTGGTGGGGTTCTGTCAATAAGGAACCTAATTCGATGGAGGCTTAGAAACAGATTGGAGGTGCTGGGCACAGGGGTGCACACCTGAAACACACCTGCAACCCCAGCCACTTGGGAGACTGAGGCAAGAGGATCACAAGTTTGAGGCCAGCCTCAGCATCTCAGTGTGACCCTGACTCAAAATAAAAAATAAAAAGGCTGGGATATAGCCAATGGTAAAGCACCCTGGGTTCCATCCTGAGTACAGACTAGAAGATGCCTTCTGTATCCCACCTCCACTGCTAAAAGGCTCTGTTTCCTGTGCACTACTGGAGGAGAGAGGTCTCTGTGGGCTGGTGGGGTCAAGCTGACATGCCAAACAGGTTTCCAAACAAATTTTAAGTGACTCATTTTCCCTTCAGGCCAATGACCTTAAAATAATCATTTCAAATCTTCAGCCAACAGAGACACAAAGGTCCTCCTAAGAGTGCCTGTAAGTGGGGGGCAAGAAGAGGTGCAGGAGATCTAAAGTGTGGGCAGGTAAGGCTAGATTGATTGATTGATTGAGGCCACAAGAAAATCAGTAGTTCAAAATATCAAAGGCCCCCTGGATGAGGCCTTTGAACAATTTCACTAAATGGATAAAAATAAATAAATAAATAGGCACCCCCCCCAACTCCCCATTTGTACCTTTGAGAAAGGTCTCCTGGTCTGGAATGAAGAAAGCTCCTGAGCACATGGCCCCCAACAGCAGAAGTTTAAAGAACCAAAAGCTGGGAGGGAGGAAAGGAGAGGAAATGTATTTAAATGATATTCAAAGGAGAACAAAAGACCTCTTGGAAGGTGGCATGTCAACCCATGATTCTGCCATTGCTAATGTTCTCTCCAAATCGAGGGGAAGTAATTAAGTGACTGAAGAATGCCTTTTCTCATAATTAGACACGCTTGGAACAGCCTCCAATTGTGCAAAACACCACTTCATTGCAGGACTGGAAGTGACCCAGAGGAAGGTCTTAGTACAAGAAATAAACTCTTTGCCTCCATTGACTTTCTCATTATGGTACCAGGTGTTAGAAACAGCATTCTGGCTGTAAGGCCACTGGGTAACAAACAGAAGTTGTACTTTCCTCAAAATCAGGATCAACTATAGGAAGAGCAGTTAACATTGTCAGGAGTAGAAGGGACCCTGGAACACCATCCCTAATATAAGGAAGGAAAAAGCAACCCCAGGGAGACTGAGGACTTACCCATTGTGAATATGGGCTCTGCAGCTTTTACTGGTGTTGATTTTCAAGGTCAGCAGGCAGAAGAGAAAGAAGAAACACGCCATTCCAAAGCAGACTCGGTACACTGCAGAGTACCCCACCAGCGTCTCACAGGTGTCACCAGCTTTAATGCCTTTGCAAATATCTTCAAAAAAAGGAATCTGAGGGGAAAAATAGTGTAGAAAAGTTGTCTGTTAAAATGGGGTTAGAAAAGCTAGGATTAGTAAGTAGCGCACACCTGTAATACCACCTACTCAGGAGGCTGAGGCAGAAAAACTGTAAGATCAAGGCCAACCTGAGCAACTTAGCAAGACCCTACCTCAAAAACAAACAATAAAAAAGGGCTGGGGGTGTAGCTCAGTGGTGAAGAGGCCCTGGGTTCGATCACAGGCCAGGAGTAGCAAGTGTGGGGATTGGGTCAGATAGGGGACTCAGGGAATGTTCATTCAGACTGAAGTCAAAATCCACTGTGGAAATGAATCAGGTATGTAACAAGATGCAGATTGAGGAAGAAAATCTTCCGGAGAATTTTTCTTAATTTTCTCTGAATCCTTTTTTAAAGATGCACTCTCAAAAGTACGACTTAGGGGGCTGGGTTAGTGGTAGAGGGCTTAGTGGTAGAGGGCTTGCCTAGCATGTGTGAGGCACTGGGTTGAATTCTCAACACCACATATAAATAAGTAAATAAAATAAAGGTCCATCAACAACTAATAAAAATATTTCAAAAGAAAAAAAGTACCACTTAGCTTTTACTTGCTCCAAAGGTTTCTGAAGTTTAGCATCAGAATTTTCATTACATTTGTAATACGTGATTATATTTTTATTGAATGCACAAATATAGGGAACAAAAAGAGAGAGATTACATTCACTAACACCTCATTCTTCTCGGGAAAGTAAACAATCTCATGGATAGGAGAATTTTATTAGTTCACATATATAAAATTGTGTATATGCATATATACAACACACATATACATTCATCTGATCCTACACATATGGTAGGATATATATATATATAATACATATATAATACATATATATACACACATATAATATATACATATATAATACATATATATAATATATACATATATAATATATATAATATATACATATATAATACATATATATTATGTGTATATAGGTATTAAATATACATATACATATGTATTATATGTGTATATATAATACATTTATACACATATATAATATATACATATATGGTATATATAATACATATATACACATATATTATATGAATAGCTTTTTAAAATAAAATATTTGGGCTAGGGATGTAACTCAGTGGTAGAGCACTTGCCCAGCATGAGTGAGGTCCTGGGTTGGATCTTCAACATGGCAAAAGATAGGAAGGAGAGAAGGAAGGAGAGGGAGGGAAGAAGGATAGGAAGGGAGGAAGGGAGGGAGGGAAAAAGGAAGGAAGGAGGGAAGGGAGGAAATATTGTACATGATGTTCTGTGGTATTTTTCCCCAAAATTAACAGTAAGTCATGGAGCTCTTTGCCTGTTAATATATGTAATCCCACCCCATTTTTTAAACCATCATATTTTATAGTAAGGCTAGATAAAGATGATGATCATTCCCACACTGACTATTTTTACTGTGAAGGGGTTTTTGTTTCATTTTGTCTTGTATATTTATTGTCTGCTATTACAGACACTGGTTCAGTACACATTGCTGGACATGCCTCATTGCAGATCTGCCATTATTTAGGCAGCTTAGACTACTGAGCTAGAAATTAGTGGGTCAAGTGGTATCTACATTTTAAAATTTCAAGACATAAAGCTAAATTATCCTTTTAAAAGGTATAACAACTTACAAAATCTTCCACAAAGAGAACAAGTGTTACAGGGCTGGGGTTGGCTGGGAAACTGAGGCCATGCTCCCCGCTCCAAACCCCAATTCTTGCGATCACGTCAGAAGGATTTCAGACATGTTGCTCGGAGTAACAGGCATGAGTTTATTAGAAGGGGAAAAGGAAACACTCTTGAGAGAGAAAGCAGATCTTCAGAAAGAGGGCTGGAGCGACCCTCCTGCCTTCTGTTTGATTGGGAGTCCCAGTGTTAGCGGACACAAGTGCAAATGCTTTCTTTGCCAAAAAATAATTTATCTGCAGTCCTGCCTGGCCTAAGGGGGAGATATTTGTGACCCTTTTTACAGACCAGATCTTGAAACTCAGGGAAATAAGGATAATTCTTCCTAATCATAAAATCTCTAAGAATGTATGATTAAGAATCCAATTAGAATCTGTCAGAATGGGCCAAAGTGACCTAGAGTTGTCATGGCAGTCAAGACTTAAAAGTCTCATATCACCCTCCTGTCAGTCAAAAGTCAAGAGGCAGACTTGGGCAGGACTCTCTGGAAACTTCTCTGGGATCCCCAATAAAATTGGAGTATAGGAGAGGGCCCACGATCTCCCTTGAAAGTGTCCCCTTTCCCTTTTCCTATCCCTTCAATAAACTCAGGCCTGTTACCCTGAGTGACGTAGGTGAAATCTTTCTGACTTGAAGGCAAGAACTGGAGTTTGAAGTGGGGGGGATGTCTTCATGCTGCTTCAGTTTCTTAGAAGGCCCCAGCTCTGTAACACCAGGGAAGGTTACTGAGTCCCGCCCAGGCCCATCTGACCTCTGACTGACAGCACAGGAACTATATGGGCCATGTCCAAGAGAGAATGGTGTGGCGCCCATGGAGCAGGAGTTTTTAAGGAAATTGGGTCATCCTGTTTTTGCCTCGATCCAGCTCCCTTAATTGGTTCATTATCCTTGAATAGCCCTCACCATGTTTTGTGAGGGTCTTGATGTTTTGGCCACTAGGGTGATTGGGGGTGACTGGGGGTTGTGACATAGTTTAGGTAATAATGGAGAGTCCTGGACTTGGTTACAATAGATCATGAAGTCATGATCATTAAGACTGAGGGAGCTTTTACCCTATCTTCCAAGTGTTTGTTAAATGGGCCACTGTGCGACTTCAGTGGCCCTTTATTCTCTTTTCCCTGCTCTCCCAGTCATGGCTGCGTAGCTCCCTACTACAAGCAGCACACTTTTATGAATATCATAGAATAACGATTCAGTCAGTAGTTGAAAAAGAACTTACTTCTAATCAACATCAAAGGTGATCCCTCTTCAGAACAGAAAAGGAGTTAAAGATCACATTGTAGCTGCTCGGTTATTCATAAGAAAAAAATAAAAATGTCACCAAGGGAAATTATGACTCAAAAGCTGGAAGTAAAATTAAAGCATGAAAGAGAATTTAGTTTCTCCTCCAGAAAAGCACTTTAAAACAATAACAAGCAAAGATTTTTAAGAATAAGCCAGGCTAAGTTAAACTGGCTTTGGAATAAGAATTCTCTCCCCCTAAAAAGGTCTGAATTTGAAACATTTTTCCAAACACTCCCAAATAAAAGGCTTGGGCAGGAATACATTGTGTCTCAGACCCTGTTAGTATAGCTCTATTCTCATGAACAGACCTGAAAGACGGTCAAGAAATGTCTGATGTTTTGTTCCCAGAAAATTCCTAAAACTGCAAATATTTTTACAACAGAGCAAAATGGAGGCCATAAAGAGATGTCATTGTATTTATTTGAACCGGCTACTGTGGTTTTTTTGTTTGTTGTTTGTTGCTATACATGACAGTAGAATGTATTTGGCAGAATATGCATATATAAAGAATAACCTATTCTATTTAGATTCCCATTCTTGTGGTCATGTATACAAATGCAAGGCTAGGAAATCATGATGAATCAATTCTACTGTCTTTCCTAGTCCTCTCCCCTCTTTTCCCTTGGTCTAATCCAATGGATTTCTATTATTCCCCTCCCCAATCTCCCTTGTTTGTGGTTAGCATCCACAAATCAGAGAGAACACTTTGGCCTTTGGTTTTCTAGGATTGGCTTATTTTACTTAATATGATATTCACCAGTTCCATCCATTTACCAGCAAATGCCATAATTTCATTCTTCTTTATGGCTGAGTAATATTCCATTGAAGAAAATATACCACATTTTCTTCATCCATTCATCCATTGAAAGATACCTGGGTTGTTTCCACAGCTTGGCTCTTGTGAGTTGAGCTGCTATAAACATGGATGTGGCTGTGTCACTGTAGTATGCTATTTTTAAATCCTTTGGATATATGCCAAGGGGTGGGATAACTGGGTCAAATGGTGGTTCCATTCCAAGTTTTCTAAGGAATCTCCATACTTCTTTCCATAGCGGTTGCACCAATTTGCAGTCTCACCAACAATGTATGAAAGAACTTTTCTCCCCACATCCTTGCCACCACTTATTATTACTTATATTCTTGATAACTGCCATTCTGACTAGAGTGAGACAGAATATCAGAGTTGTTTTAATTTGCCTTTCTATAACTGCTAGAAATGTTGAACACTGTTTCATATATTTTTTGACCAGTCATATTTCTTCTTCTGTCAAGTATTTGTTCAGTTCCTTGGCCCATTTATTGAGTTATTTATTTTTCTGATGTTAAGTTTTTTGAGTTCTTTATATATCCTGGAAATTGGTGCCTCATCTGAAGTACTGGTGGTAAATATTTTCTCCCAATCTGTAGGATCTCTGTACATGCTCTTGATTGTTTCCTTTGCTGTGAAGAAGTCTTTCCGTTTGATACCATCCCATTTATTGATTCTTGATTTTATTTCTTGCGCTTCAGGAGTCTTGTTGAGGAGTTAAGGAATTTGATTCCCAAGCCAACGTGATGAAGAATGGGGTCTACTTTTTCTTCTAGTAATTGCAGGGTCTCTAGTCTAATGCCTAGGTCCTTGATCCATTTTGAGTTGAGTTTTATGCAGGTGAGATATAGGGGTTCAATTTCATTCTATTGCATGTGGATTTCCAGTTTCTTCCCCCCCGCACAAACCCTTAAAACAGACTGAAGTAGGGGACCCCTCTAAAACTGAGAGCAACTTCCTCATGCTGGAGTGGAGGCTGAGGGGCTGGCCCTGCCCAGAGGCCAAGATGGCTGAGAATGGAGGCTGCCCCCATCTTGCTTCCCCAAGCTGTCTAACCAGCCGACCAAATCTGCTATGTCCTGCCTGATGTCCCATTTTGCCGCCTCTTCTCTTTTAAAAGCTTTCTTTTTGTCTCTGAAGATGGAATTTTTGAGACAAAAAGATTCTATCTTCACTC